AAAAAAAGCACTGGATGCTTTTCCAAAGAATCTGGGTTCAGTTCCCACTACCCACATAACACTCAGTTCCAGGGGATTCATTGCCATATTCTGGCCTCCATGGACTTTGCACACATGGGTGCACTTGCATAGATGCAGGCAAAAATACTCATATACATAAAATAAAAATAAATAAAGACACAACTGGTTAGTGACAAATGACCTTCTTGAATTTAACTTCTTATTTTCTTGGGTAACCAAACTCAGTTAAACAAACAAACAAGCAAATATACCCATGTTTCTGTGCATAGAAATAATTTATGGCAAGAAAGAATTCTAGATTTAATTGGTCCAGAGTAGTATTAGTTTAGTTTTAATAATATAGTGAATAAAATCAGTAAAAATTTGTAACAAGTTCCTATACCAAAATATTTCTACAAATAACACATTTTAGACCTAAAAACTTCTGTAATTTTTGAGTCATATGATTCTATAAAATTACAAGTTAATACTGGGACTTCCTGAAGTATGAGGCTTAATAAACATTTGTGAAAATGTGATAAGGGAAAAAACCATCATGTAGTTCTATAGAATGTGTATCTCTTTGTGGTGGGGAAATTGTCCTATTCACTGTTTTCCCAGATCAATAACAATTTAGTGAGTATTTCCTGAGAATAAATAAAAAATAGGTAACTGAAAGTGCTAAATAATTATCATTTTCATCTTATTGTTCACAGATGAAATGATTAAAACCTTGTTTCTAAATATAATAAATTCTCAAGCATTGATAAAAATATCAAAAGACTGATGTATATCATATTAACATAGTTTGATAGAGAGAAATAGATGATAGATGGATAGATGATAGATAGATAGATACATAGATAGATGGATAGATGGAGAGAGAGATAGAAGATCTCAAAGCTCCATTTCATTCCTTCCTAGGCACTGTTTTAGTTAGTCAGTGCTTATCAGTGCTTGACTTTCCTGATCAGTATTGTCACACTGCTTTTATACAAAGTCATACATCACTCGATGATAAGCTGCAGTATGACAAATGCATTCTGAGTTTATGTTGTCAGTGTGTGAACACAATAAAGTGTACTTCCACAGACATAAACAGTGCATCAGATCCTTGATGTGGCCTCCTGATGCAGTCATGAGATATGGTAAACAGGAGATACATGAGACTGACACCATTCTAACAGTCTACGCTATTGTATAGTTAATATTTTTACAGGTAGAAAGGGTACACTCTAAAATAAAAAAGCAGAGTATAATACATAAACTAGTAACAGTTATCATTTCAAATATCATGTACTATATATAATTCTGTGTGCTGCACTTTGATTCAACTGTTGGTTGAATTCAACAAACAGAAGGCTCATTTAAATCAACAACACATTCAAGGCATTGTGTTGTGATGCTAATATGGCTAGGACAGCACTAGTTGGTAGGGACTTTTCAGCTTCATTACTATGTAATGGAACCAGTTTCATATATTCAATGTGATGGTGATTTCATTATGCAATCAGGACTGTATTTTTACATTGTTGGGCATGCTTATTTTATTTCATATTATGTAATTCTTTTCAAATCATTTTTGTGAAAGGTTGCTCTTCTCCATACAAGATAACAAGATCATTGGTATTTGGGTAGGTATAAACTTTAGGTTTTTGTTTGTCTTAGGTAAACTTCTCTGTTGTAATAGGTGCATCCTTATGGTGTAGCTAAAGTGTAAATTTTATGCTTTGAGTCCTTAAAACTAATAGTTAGCTTATTCTATGGATGTTTATAAGGCAACATAGGGAATATTAAACACATATTAAATACCATTCTCATCATTGAAGCAAAAAAACCTCCCTCTCTTACTGGTATATTCAATTAAAACAAGCAAATAAAAGGATAATAACATGCTTTTGGCACCTGTATTTATTTTTTTAACCAAAATAATTCATTTCAGTGCTTACTAATAAATGGCTATTCAGTGAGCTTATTTTGTAACAATTTTCAAAGGAAATACGTAGCCTGAAATGTATAGTAAACGTTAGATATAACTGGGATTGTTCTTCATGCAGGTAAGTTTAAAATGAACATTCAAAACATCTGATCAAGTTTTTGCTGACCTATACAATACCTGCATCTTAATAAGTCCTATTTCAGCGCCTGTTTTCTGATGAATAGCTGCGCTCCAAAATGCTCTGTCCGTGGTGCTGAAACCTCTTGTGATCTATGAGCATGTCTTACTGATAAATTCTTATGTCAGTCTCTCTGTGATAGTGATTCATCAGGTTGTAAGATTTGTGCTTGGGAAACACATCGAATTAACAAGTGCCATATTTTGGTTTTGTTGAAATTAACACAGTTTGTCCTTTCATTTTAAAGAGTGCATAGCAATTGCTTTGCACATTGTCAAAAACAGCTGGGATTTAATTAGAAACTGTCAATAGTAACACAAAAGAAATGTCTAATATTAACAAATAAATTGATATGACTATCATGCTGGGAATGTTTGCAGGCTGGTGACATGCTGATAATATGCACTATAGTACTGTTTAAAAAAAGTTAACTGATTATGAGCACAGCAGTTATTAATATGGAAGCCTTATGACTGTCTAGATGGTGGAGATAAGCGACTTGACTGTTAAAATTATGGCTTATTATCTTGGGTTTTTACATTTCAGAATGTTTCCTTTGCATAAATACATTTACTTTTTCAAGACTGTGTATATAATAACTAAAACCCTCTAGCACACTGTTTTTGTTAATTTTTCAATGAAGTTATTTCACTGCTTACAGTGGGTTTTAATATAATTAGTAGCACTCTTTGAGCTTCAGTCTATAACTTGAGATCTTTATGAGCTGTCTTTTCTTAGACATTCATATTTAATCTTAAAGGACTGTATTTTATCTCTGTGTTTTACTCTAAATTATTTTAGAGTCCTTTCCTTAGTTAAAAAAAAAAAAACTTTCCTTTTGCATATTTTTATTGTTGGCAAGTTGCAATTCCAGTTTTTGGGAGATTGTTTGTAGCAAGAGATTCATGAGTTTAAGGCCAGTATGGCTTACATAGCAAATTTGAGGCAAATCTATGTTGTAGAGTTATGAGTATATTGCCTGCATGTGTGTAAGTGTACTCATGTCATGCAATGCCTACAGAGGTCAGAAGGGATCATTTGGATTTCCTAGGAACTGGAGTTACAGGCAGTTGTTAGCTACCACGTGGGTGCTAGGAATCAAATCTGGGTCCTCTGTAAGAGCAGCCAGTGTTCTTAACTGCTGAGCCATATCCTTGGCCCATTTTTGAAATAGTAAACTTTGTAATTATCTGGGCTTTTATATTAGGGTAAAATAAAATCAGTGGTAAGTTTCAAAAAATTGAAACTTGATAAACTTTTGCTACTAATTCATTTAATTTTATTGTGAAATTCTAAAGCCTTAGTCTTAAAACAGCACATGGAATTTCTCCATTGTGTTTGTAGTATAGCCAATTATTAAATTCTTCACTTGTTACTTCAGTGATGCTCATTATTTAAAACCACAAAGTAATGTGGCAATATTTTTTGCACAGCAAGCAACTTACAACTGATCTGTTGATTATTAGACTTTTACTTATTCTAATATTGGATTTAAATCATTTGAGCCTTATAACTAAATATATTACAAAAGCTCATTGTTTAAAAGATCTTTACATGAATATGTAATTTACTGGAGGATTTTTTTGAGTGAGTAATTAAAGTGTTAAACATAATATTATTGTCTTTTAATATTGATAAAGTGCTGTCTATAATCCATTTGTGCATCATAAAATTATAGTTATGAACCTAATAAAGTTATTATTTTTAGCATTCCAAATTTCATTGTAGAAAACACTTTCAAAATCTGTCATTTAAATGATATTTAATCAGATGATATTTCCCAGAAATTATTCTTTATTTATAAACAAAACAAGACAAAAGCAATTGATTTTAATCCAAAATGTATTTTTCCTTATAAAAGAGGTCCACATACTCACTGTGTCTACTCTACAGAATTTGTCCTTTTTATTACACCACGTGTCAATTCAAGTTTATCTGGTCACTGCAAAAACTCGTGGCTAATATGTGTAATACAACACAGGAGGAGGTATTGCTCAGTTCAACTACTCATATACTTAAAAAAAATACAGAAATGTTTTTGTTCACTTTAACTGTAGTCCAGACAGAAAAGTTACATGAAAGTTCTAGAAAATGGAATTGTTTTATTTGGTTGCCTCAGTCCTCTTGGAAGCCAGTCAATTTAAATGCTGAGCTTGTATGTGTTTCCATTGGTCAGAGCAGCATTGGTGAAGCTTAATCTTTTCCAAAATGATATTCCCCTGCTTGTTGTTGTGTTGTTGTTGTTTTTAGCACTTCTGCAGTCTTGAGCTCTTCTTTGAAGTAGGCTTTGTTGGTTGTTTTCAGGATACATTTGTTGGCACACTTATAACTGTTGCTTTCACTTCCAAGGATGCACTTTTTTCTTTGCCTGCTTCCCAGAGGTTTATCAGAGGAGGATAAAGCTCGCTGAATGCAAAGGTTGGTTTGTGAAAGTAATTCCTCACATAGCTGTGTTCCCCTTCACACTTTATTTCTTGAGAGAGGCAGCTGAAGAGACACATCACGCCGATAATCCCTAGAAGACCACCAAGGCAGGCCATAAAGGCTGTGTTACTCTTTTCATAGTCCTTTCCATAATTGTCCAAACTTTTTGTGGTGACATTTACACATTGTTTTCGGCTTTTCTGGTAGATGGTGGGAATATCAATACAAATTTTATACTCAGTAGATGGTTCCAAATGAGTAAGATTATATACCTTGACATCAGATGGTATTCGAGCACTTTGGGCAGCATGAGTGTGTTCAGGCTTGACAAAGGCTGTCCACTTAACACTGGATTTAAGAATCTTAGAGCTTGCTTTCCAAGACACCAGAATGGAATTGGCCTGAATATCCCTTATTTTAATATTCAAAGAGCCATTGTCATCCTGGGGCACAGAACCATCCACTTTGATCATGACAGACTTCAAGTCAGCACCAACTAGGTTAGTTGCTATACAAGTGTATAAACCTCCTTCCTTCGGGGTTATACCACTTATGTCTAGTGTGCCTTCTGAGTGGAGATAGAACTTGTCTCTCAGAGTGTTGGGCAGCAATTTTTGACCAGAAGGTGTGATCCAGTAGATTTCCGGCTGTGGCTCTGCAGTAGCTCTGCAATGAAGGGAGACATAGCTATTAGCTTCTACATCCAAATTAGAAGGAAAGCTCTCAGGAGCTATGAGAGGGAGACAAATTTCCATCATATCTCTAAAGTGCACCTGCCGAACATTCTGGCCTTGGAATTCAGGTGGGTCCACGCAAAATAGAGAATCGGGTTCCATAAATCGAATGTTGGTTTTGTTCATGTTAATCCAGCGGATGACACAGTCACACCTGATGGGATTGCTGTGTATGCTGATTTCCTTGAGGTTTGGCAAAGATTCTATGGTACCATGGTACAGTGCACTGAGGGCGTTGCTGTTTAGCATGAGAGATTCCAGCTTAGGGAGTCTGAAGAATGCATTAGGATGAATGTAAGACAATCTGGGGTTGTTAGTAGCTTCTATCTTTCTTAAATCTGGCAAGTTATCCACAGCAAGACTGTCAATGGAAACAAGCTCAGGCATATTATTTATCCCCAACTCTTTTAAGTGTAGCATATTGCTAAAATCACCCCTTCGTATTCTGTTAATAGGATTTTTATTTAGATCCAAAAATTTGAGGTTAACAACTTTTTGAAGAGCAATCTGGGGTACTTTAATAAGCCTGTTGTCATAAAAAGAGATGCTTTCCAAGTTTTCAAGTCCAACCAAGGCGTTATCTGGTATTTCCGTGAGGTTTATCCCAGCTATAACCAGGCTGCGAAGATTGAGAAGAGGCTGAAAGTTCATGTCTTTGATTTTGATGATTGGATTCTCCCCAATCATTAGGATCTCTAGGCTGGGAAGGGCATCAAACCACTTACTGTTGATCATCTGCAGTCTATTTGAGTTGAGATGAAGTCGAAGAAGATTATGTAGGCCAATAAAAGCTCCAGGTGAAATTGTAGAAAGCAAGTTGTGATTAATATAGAGTTCTTGTAAGTTGCTCAGCCCAGACAGACATTTTTCAGGCAGCTCAGTAAGTTTGTTTTCTTCCAGATACACAGAAAGAAGCTGAGACATCTTTTTTACATTAATATTGGTGACTGAAGATAAATTGTTTTGAGATAAGTCCAGGCCAGTAAGGTTTACTGGAAAGTCTGTGGAATACTCAATTCTTGCAATATTATTAGTTTGTAGGAGCAGAATCTGTGTGTCCACAGGCAATCTGGCCGGGAAATTGAAAAGCCCTAAATCATTACAATCCACTGTGGATGCTTCCATGTAGATGGATCTGGGGGTGAACCAAGGCCTGATTTCACATGTACATAATTGTGGGCAATCCAACTTTTTATCTCCAGCTTGTACTAGTGTAGTTATAGCTAGGCCAAGTAGCACATGGATTTGGAGTGGCATGTCCTTCATCTTAGCTTTTGTCTTCAGCAATTTAATGGGCCCTTAAGGATTCCAGTCACTGCTAGTAAGTTCAGTAAGAGCTGATTGATCAGGAAAATACTTGCATTTGTCAAATGATGAATGCCGCAGAACTGTAGATACTTTTTTCATGGAAATAATTATGATTACCACAGTTGTATTTTCCAAAAATGTCATACATAATGGAGCAAAGGTAGTCACTGTCTCCTTAATGATATGATACTGAAGTACTCTTCGACGATGGATGATGTATAGATGATCATAGGATATTGAGCAATTCATTTACTTAGAAGTGTATGGTTCAAATCCCATCCTTGTTTAGTACTTGAGGAAATAGAGTCATTATTCTAAATGTAATAGAAGAAAAAAATAATTAGTTCAAGAGGAAAAGCCATAATTAATGTTCACTAATGAGTTCTAATTATTTCATATATATTACTACTGGAATTTTCAGTTATTTTTCTTTTCTTTGATTTTCTCCTTGTTGGTTCAGACATTAGATGAACCAAAACAAGTCAATCTTCAGAAGGCTGAAGTTTTGTTAAATATAATGTACTTCCACAATTTTTCTATTTCAAAACTTCATTTATACCTCTAATTTCAGTTATTAGATTTTTCTTTTCTTTATCATTTAACTCTGGTTGGGGGGGGGTGAACAGCCTTTCAGTGATGATGGGTTTGTTATATGGAAATAATCCTGTTCTGTTATGGTCATTAAATGAGCTGGTGCTTCCTTTCACCCCTTGGAGACAGCATTGGGAGGCAATATTGTTCATGATTGCTAAATTGGCTAGAAATTGTGGTATTTAGCTCACTTTCATTCTTTTATTCATACTTTTCTCCTTTGTATAAGGTAACCTAAGTGTTGCAGCATTTAGAGGCTACAGAGACTAATTTATTGTAGATGTATATAATTCTTAACCGAACTTCAGATTAAGGTTTGATTGTTTTTATCACTGAGAATAAACTTAGAATCCTTCAGTCACTAACAATTAAAAAAAAAAAAAAAAAGCTACTGTCTTAATCCAGTAAAACGGATGCTGTAAAAGGGGTTTCCTCTTTTAAATGGACACTGATACTATTGTCACTGAAAAATAGGTCAGAAATTGAGTTGCAGTTTTGCTGTGTGTTGTATGTTAACATGCCATACTGCTTTTAGGTATATGCCATCCAGATGGATTGCTGGGAAAGTTCCTTCTACCCCCTTCAAATATGCAGGAATGTTGGCATTGTTAGACTTTTCATCCTGGGCTTTTCTTCCGGTGATAATGGATGAGTAACAGTCTGTGAATGCTGCCTCCTTTATACTTTGACTGGTACTGACTGTCACAGTGGCATTGTTGACTGAGGATAAGATGGATGGTTCAGTGACAGACATGAACATCCTAAGACATTTGGTCCATGGAGGGATAAAAATATTCCTTTTTAGAAAATAAAGATGTCTTTGTTTCTAAAAATTGTAAATAATTTACAGTTCAAAGTCATAGCTAACTTGTCTCTTTCCCTTTAACATTCAGAAAGGTGATTTTTATCTAAAACTGAATCATGAGGTTCAGATAACTATTAACTAGCTTTGAATTAAAGGTATCTGTATTGTTTTCTTCACACTTCAAGCCTATGTCCTCTGGGAAGTCCACTTTCATGTAGCTCCAGTAATACCGAGTGTCTCTCTCCTGTCTCTCAGTGTTCTTGTGGTCACAATACAGACCTCCTTAAAAGCATAAAGCTTTCCTGACTTTGCATCCTCAGATTCAGGACCTGGTAACTAGAATGTTAGCAGATGTTCACAAAATGTTTTGAGTACACCAGAGAATGGATTTTATAAGTAAATGTATATTTGCATCATTTTATGTACAATTTAAGTAATCCAATTTGTGTAATGAATTTAACTGCCCTTACTTTTATAAGTCTTACTAGGTATACAAAATGTACATTATCTGCATTTGTTTGTATGCAAGATTCAAAGATTCATTCTAAGGATAATACAAAGGAATATTAGACTTTAAAAGTCAATCTACTATATTTTCGATTTATTAGTTAATATGTCAGTGAACATTTATTATCTTCTATCTGCCAGTTATTGGGTTTGGGGCTTGAAGAAGAAAAGGTAACTTAGGTATGATCACTTTCTTTAGTAAACCGGCAGGAGGGCAAAACACAAGTAAACAGGTGGCAACCATTCTGTGGAAGGTTTAGGTCAGAAGCACGGGAACCTAGAGGAATGGCAACTAAATAAAACTTACAGAAATCCATTACCTTTTGATGTCCAAAATGAAGAAAAAGCCTAGGTGGAAAGTACAAAATTCATTTTTGTGTGTTTCCATTAATCATTCAGCTGAGAATGAGGGAGCCATATCTTCTGCCAGTTAATTGGTTGAATGGCTTTCTGCAGGCAGTGTGAAGGGCAGCCTACATCCTGCAATTAAGCAGAAGATAAATTATTACATGCATGTATAACATAAGAATGTCACTTTTTCATTTTGAAATATTTGGTGGGTATGTTTTTGAAATTAACCTTTATGTTTAATTAGAATTTTTTACTGACCCTATTTAATCAGTTATATAGACATACTGGAAACAACCACAGTTTGAACTAGGTTTATCCAGGAAGCTTTTGAAAAACAAGAGTTCTTATAGTAGGGAACAACTTCAACTTTTGTTTATGCTGGTCTGTAAGAAGAATTTGTCATATGAGAAGCACTATAGAGGCTTCAGACATTTAACCTTTATTAGACTATTGACTCTTTCTTGATATTTTTACTAATAGCTGTCTGGTGTGGGCTATTTTCAGGATAGTAAGGCACTAGTAATATTATCCTATTTCTTAGTACTTTATATCTTTTAAATATCTTCTTAATTCATTATTTTATGTTAACAATGGACTTGTGAGATCGATTAGTGAGAAACTCAGAATACCCCCCCCCTTTTTTTTTTAATGTTTGGGTGCCAAGACCTTACAATATTGCATTCTGATCTGTTTGAGAGCTCATCTGCCTGCAACCACATGGCTAATAAATAAAAAGGCATAATTGGAACACAGGTGTTTTCCTGATGCCCTCAACTCTTTCTAGAAAGTCATGCTGAACACATACAGATGTGATAATTTTAACAAGTGTGTAGTAAGTACAGTAAAATTTATTTTTTTTCTTAAAAAGATTTGACATTGCCTTGGTCTTCAGATATTCGGGCTTAGAAAATTCATCTTCCCAATTGACTAATAACAACTAAGGTGTGATTCACACAAATTGGACTCATGAGGGACTAAAATAAAAACCCAAATGTCAATATATTGCAACTGAGAAGTATAACAGAGAAGTTTACAATTCCTGAGTCTGGCCAGGGCTATTGCTCCATTAAAAAATAGACTTTGGAGTAGAACTTATCAATATGGAGCTTACTTATGAATATATCAGAGGCAAAGAAGTCAGACTAGAGCTCTTGATTACCACAGTCATGAGGACAATAGCCTCCACATCCTACAATAAACAGTGTACGCCATGGAGAGTGGAACTCAAAGTCTCCTGGGTTATTTCTCACCTGTGTCTTAATTGTTATTTATATTTCCTTAAGAATTTACTAAAAGAGAAATTATTAGTAATAGATAATTTATATATGTTATATCATTAGATTATTAGTAGTTATTTCAATGCTTGATTATTCATCAGCTAGGTATTTAATGTTTAGATTATCTTGTTAGATTTTAAGATTATTGTGATTAGGGTTATTGTTCAACTCATGTTTTATTTGATTATGGTAATACATTTAATTGGTTGAACAGAACCTAGATAGTAACTTAATAACCAATAACTTCCAAATTTGTTTTTCCATAGCTGTATTGAATAGCAATATATCAAACAATAATTATAAAGATATTTTTTTAAGTTTCAAGTATCCAAAAATAAACAACAGCCAGAAAGGAAGAGAAAAAAATTATTTGTATTAGATTTTTACAGAAATTTCCTCCATTGTCTGATATTTTAATAATTGGGTTGTCCCAGTTCTCTACCAAGTGTCCACTGCAAATGAAGATGGGAATGACAGTCACCGGTTTTACCATAGCTGGTCTTCAGTCCCATGCTTCAGTTTTGCCACTGAGAACATTTTCTCTACTTTTGGCCATTTGGAGATTTGAGCAAGATAGCAATGATAATGATAATGTTGATTTTAAAGCCAGAATTTTCATTTCTTTTTCTATATATTGATATAAAAAGTTAAAAAACAAATTAATTATGCAATTAAAAATAAGTTGACAGATTAGCTGCATTTTAAATTTCTCAGAATTTCAATTTCCAGAGAATTTTCACCTTTCTCTTGCCTCTCACAGCTTTCTATCTGTCATTTATTATTTTTGAACACTTGGAAGAAAGATAAAAACCATTTGAAAAACATTTCTAACAGAAAAATATGAATAAGATAATGTCTAATATACTTAGTAATTTCCTATATTCTATTATTTATCAACAATTTGTTTCTCAAAAATTAGAGTAAAGAAATTATCCTTCAAAGTAAAATCGGTGTTTTTACTTGAGTTTCAAAGGTTTTAGACTGGATATTGTACCCTGGTGAATTGACTGGTGAATGAATAAGCGTAGGTAATGTACAGATGAAATGTCTTGTTCTTTTCACTGAAGTGTAGTAATTAAGCCACATGCAAACAACATACAGAAGGACAGAGTGCATCTTATTAAGTGTTGGCTTTTGCTAGTGTGAAAGTCCACGGGGTCATTCTCTCAAGCTTTAGGAACCCACTCTGAGTTAACTACTGTTCTTTTTAGCTGTTTTCCTTTGCTTTTGCATATAGCACTAGTTTTAAAGGTCATTTTGTATCTTTTAGTTCTAAAGACAGCATAATCATATGTTAAAGCAAAATAAGTTAAAACTGAATATTTTAAATGTTTAAATGATAATACTGAAATGTCATCAGAAATGAAAACATGTATCTCAACATGTTGTATTTATAAATAAAGATGCCTATAGGTGATTTGAGAAAATGACTCCTACAGGTTCAAAGTTAGGCCTTCATTATTCCCCCTTTCTTTTATCTATGCAATTTCTCAGTAAGCATTTTGTGTGTGTATTGTGCCAGTTACTAGGCTTTCATTATTAAGCTCTTCATTCTATAAATATCTTCTTTTCATTTTTAAAATGTAAAAATTAACAAAAAATTTGCCAGTTACCCTAAGACTTCCTGTGTGGGTGATTCAAGTTGTCGTCGTCATCCTCCTCCTCCTCCTCTTCCTCCTCTTCTTCCTCCTCCTCCTCTTCCTCTTCCTCCTCCTCTTCTTCTTCCTCTTCTTCTTTTTAAATTTTAAGAAGCACCTGAAAATGTGGAATTTTTCTAATGCATGTTTTCTTTCATGCTTTCTAAACTTTTCTCACAGTTAATGTCATTTCTCATATTGGCTCCCCATGTAGATTTTGCCTACAGGAGAGCAACAGGCCTATAAATGTCCCATAAAAGAACAGATTATATGGGACACTGACAGCATGAAACCTCCCAATTTAGTCCACCAAAAGAAAGCAGTTTTAAGAATTCTCATATAATTTTAATGCCTGTGGACACTAATCATAACTGCAATTTCTTTATAGGGCAGATTTTAGATTTCAGAATCTAAAAATACAAATTATTTCTAGACAGAATTATATGTGGAAACCTTTTGTAGAAAAAATAGTATTGCATTTTCCTTGTAAAGGGATCTTTGTTCAGTAGCTTCTTCATCCTTTTCTCATCATTTATGAAACATTAATTGAACACCTAGTTTAGGAAAGGCATTCTTACAGATATGGAAAGGGGCCATTAGCTAGGGTGAAATATCTGCTCACAGTGTTCTCAGCTACTGAAACAGTAGATAGCTAAGGAGGATCGTACACAGTAGATTAGATTTACAATAAAGGTGTGTGCAGTGGCCTGTGAGGTCACCAAGGGGAATGCTTAACTCTCTCTCCAACAGGGGCAGCAGGAATGCTGTAAGGCCTTTTGTAAGACTGTAATAAAAAGCTCCTGAGAGATAGTGGAGAAACAGGAGGGCAAGAAAATTTGAAATCTACTGTCTTAGAATTTTACAGTTCAGATTGTATTTTTACAATTCAGAAGCTTAGGAACAAAGTGTGCCTTCTTGCTTGTACCTTATTATTTGTATTCTAAAGACTGCTCCATGTGGAAGAGAAACATTTTGATACTTGTTTCAAGTTAAAAAAATTTGATGCAGATAAAAAGTTGTCATGGCTACATTAAAACCCAGTTTTCCCTTTTCTTCTATAGCAAATTGCTAGCTAAGTTCATTTGTAAAGAAGTTAAAATCCATTCTCCCATTATCTGACTGCATATTCCCTTGTTATAAAATTCAGTCTTTCTTCAATTCTAATTGAAGGTTTCATATCCCCAAAGTGTCATTGAGATAAACTAAATGCATCCCTATAAAAAGGAATATGCTTTTCCCTTTGGGAAGTATTTATTTTTCAATCACTCAAGCCTCATTATTTGAATTCATTTGTCACCTCGTGAAGTGGATCTTTCAAAGATTTCATGAAAGTAATCTTGAAAAGTTGACCTGTTGATAGAAAATGGATGCAGGGAAATAAAACTTGTTTTGCATAACACAAATGAGATTTACTAGGCACTTTTGTAACTTCATAAAACATCTCCTCTCCCATGCAATAAATTATTGATTTATAAAATTTAGAATTTGAGCTGCAAGATCTCTGAAATTCTTTCACATTCTAAATTTATAGGATGCACAACAGTATTCTGTGAACATGGAGGATTTTTTTTAAAGGTGTTTAATTATTGCCTGGGTGTAAACTCAGTTATCTGAGTTTATTGAATTTTTTTTATTTAATCACGTTTGTATTCAATCCCCTAACCCTGCACATTAACACATTAGGATCAATGAATTTTAGTCATAATAAGGCTTTTAAAAGCTATCAAATTAGTTGTCTGTCATAATCTCAAATTAATTATCTGTTGTTATTTTTATTTCATTTTATGTTTATGACCACTCAGAAGTAAATGCAGTAGAGCATCACTTTAGTTATCAAATCAAGGAGACATACTGCATGGACTAGGTGCCTTGATCTGAACACAGACATGGATTCCAGCCTCTTCATTTTGCCTCCAAAGCCATCTCAGCTACTGAGATCCACTTCCTTTCAAATGGATATTATAATAGCACCAGTCACTGCTGACTTTTCAAATGATTTGACTGCGCAGGTGCACTGCCTTGGTGTTTGTTGCTGTAATTTGGGTTGTTTTTCCTCTGATAATAACATTTTACTCCAATGGAAACAACTGGGCATTATAGAAGGACAAGCCTAAGAATTGTCATTGGTCCCTAGGCCCCATTTTGCTGTGTATTTCAGACACATCAGATTGCTGAGTCTTAGTTTTACTCAAAATTGGCCTTCAACCTACATTTTCATTGTTCTTTTCCACATGGATATTTAATGCTGTGAGAGACTTCTTGCAGAGTTGCCACTATGAGGAAAACTGCTTATTAGAGTCAAATGCAGACAGTGAGGACTGAGATCAGTATCCCAGGAGTGTTGTGTGTGTGTGTGGGGGGGGTAGCAGTTTCTGGATGCTCACAAATTCTCCTGTTGTTGATTCTGCTGTTTCTCATATGGAAAGAATTTGTATGTTTATTTTCATCCATAGTTTTTGCTCTTCCAAGAATCTTATTAGTAGCACACTATATGTGACATTGACTTTTGCACATAATTAGCAGAAAGCATGCCATTTTAAGCCATAATTCTCTCTTCGTGCTTGTGTTTCTTCACTGGGCTTCTTTCCATATATGGGGCTCTAATCCATGCATAACCCTCACATTGTTCAGGGTTATCTGAGAATCTGTAAGTCCTGATTTCCTCCTTTCTTTTCTAACTTCTCATTTGTCATTCTCTTGCTATTGCTTTTATGTAGTCCAAGTTTGTACCTCTCTGGGGGTGAGTGCTCCTTTGCTGCTATCCTTAACATGGGCTCATTTTAGATTGAAGTGCAGTGATCTTATTTCCTAAATTGAGATACGGGGTGAAAAAACTTGCTTGAGGTTGTAATTGAACTACAGTTCTGTATGTGGATAATGCCCTTCGTTAAATTACAAACATGTTAACCACTGAATATTATGAAAATATGCAAATTCAAGTTTAAGGAGACCATGTGACCTTCAGTGACTTCATTTGCATAATGAATTTTCTTGATGCTATATAATTATATAATTTTGTAATAACCTTAAATACATTGAAGACTATTTTAATGCAGATCCTTGTGAAGGCCTATAAAGGACTTTAATAGATTCTGAGGGGATTTACACAGAAATTTCATGAAATTTTTAGATCCTCATCATGTTCATTATATATTTAACATATGTGTCAAACTATAATGTAGGGATTGAGAGTTTCACCAGAATCAAAGTAGTCCTTAAAATTATACTTCAGACTTACACAAATATGAATTCATAGAGAGTTTCCATATTTTTCCCCCTGTGTGGGGAATTCAAACCAGGGCCTTGCATATGCTAGACAAGTACTCCCTTAATTACATCCTCAGCCCTGGAGATTATTTTTAAATATGTTCAGAATAAATTTTGTTTATGAGAAATATTTTCTTTCAAAATGTGTATATGTGCATATATGTGTTCTGGGATATGTCCATTCTACTCAGAAAATCCTGAACATGATTGATGAAAGTTATGTGCTAAGTTTCTCATTTCTTCCAACTTAAAAAAATATTTTATTTATTATTTTTATTTTATGTGTATGAGTGTAATACCTGCATGTAAGTGTACCCAAGTTGTGCAATGCCAGGGGAGATGGGAAGAGGGCGTTCCCTGGAACTGGAATTAAAGACGGTTGTTAGCTGCCATGTTGGTGTTGGTAATGGAACCCAGGTCTTCTGCAAGAAGAGCAATCAGTGCTCTTAACTGCTGAATCATCTCTCCAGACCATTTCTTCCAATTTTTATTCTTATTCAAATACATTCTCATTAAATGATTTAGTTAGGTATCAATATATATTTTAAAACACAGGTGTGTCAAGAAAAGATATCACCCCAAAATGTTTCCTTGCTTTCTTGATGTTTTTCTTGTAGATCTCACTCTTTTTCATGTCTGGGTTTTTTTGAAACCAGTGGAATGAAGTGGTTTGTAAAGGATGCCATCTTTTAATCTGAAAGGAAGTTCCATCTAGGAGTGAAGATCATTTCTCTGGTACTGTCTCTTGATTGGGTAGCAGGGGAGAGCATTATAGCCTGCCTTGCAACATCATGGTTTGGAAACACAAGTCTGATGTAGATCTACTTCCAATTTCCCTTCATTTATGATGAAAATATTTGGGGGTAATTATCTAGACAATTAAAGTGATTTTAAAATCTTTTTCTACTTTATTAGAAGACAGTCAAAATTTCCTGTCAGTCTCTATCCTTTGAATTATTGGAAGAGTGTATTTCTCACATATTAAAATAATAATAAAACAGTGATTTCAGCTTCAGTTGATTTTAAAGCTAGGCATAGTGAAGTTTCTTTAGGTTTTCTACACCCTAGGGTCTTATACAAAGGAGGATGCAGTAAGCATGTGTGTACACCCTTCCCCCACAAATAACCCAAAAGGTATATTCCATTTTGATTGACACACAGGGACATCATAAAAAGTGACAGCCAAAAGGTGTCCTCGGAATTTTTTTTTTTCTCTTCGATGAACTCAGTTGGACAGAATGGAAGATCATTGGCTTGTGAGAAGGGAGGAAGCCCCTGGACAGGAGGCCAATCACATACTGTGGATAGAGAAGGAGGCTTGTTTTAGTTTGACATTGTCACAGAAATACCTCAAGGTCAGTTGTCAGACAGGAGCTTCCTCTAATAGGAACTCAGAGTAAATGGTCCCTGGATAGTTCATGTTTTGTTTTGACTATAATAAAATGCTGGTACTCAGTGCTATTTAAAAACACAGCATATCAGTGTTATTGCTGAAAATTGAGAAAATAACATGTTTTGAAAGGATATGAGCGATGAGATCCTGTGGTCAAATCATTTCCTCAAATGCAGTAAATAAGAAAATAACTTGTAGCACTACATTTTCAGGAGATGTAGGAATCACCCGTTGAGTAATGTAGCTGTGAGTGGTGCTGGTCATACAAATGAATGGGAGTGGTCATACAGATGCAGTCTGTATTGTTAGTTCCATATAATGAATGTGGAATAGTTTGTATTTTAATTTTAAAATTTTGCCAGATTTCCCTCATGCTCTGTGGTTTTCCCCTTGCAGTCCTGACAATCTGCTTAAAGCAGCATTGAGATATTTTTGTCCAGGGACTACAAGAAGGATTT